AGATCGGATCGAGCATAGTTGGCCACTCCTATCTTTTAGCAAGTCGCGACGAAGGTGCCAAGATGGCTGTCCGGTTCTGTCAAGATGGTCGAGCATTCCCACCATTTGGCACTCAACTAGATTTACTAGATCGTCCATCACAGTCATCCGATTGGACCGCTGAGCAGATCGGATCGAATGCACCAAAGCGGGACGATAAAGAGTTCGGAAGACGAGGCGGGCATCTAATGCTGCACATATCATTAGATAAGCGAAACCAGATGAAGTTTTCTCCGTACCGAGCATTCCATCTATGTAGTGATCCATCAAGAGAGCGGACGCGACCGAGGGCGCTAACTCTTCGGAGCAGAGCCCCACCTGAGAACCAAGCTCCTGATAATGCACTATATTAGGGCCTAAAGATAAAGAAACGGGATGATAGGCTCTAGATGCTTGCACAAAGTCAAATGGTTGTCGTATGTCCTCGGCCGTGTGCCGCAGTGCAAGAGAGAAGAGAGCTGCTAGATGATTGGCGCTGAGCAGAGTCCTAGTGTCTTCGCGAGCGCTTTGCATATCATGTATTTGCCCCTTAATCAAATCTCGCAGAGGTTGGTACCGAGAGTAATCCGACAACGTGTGATGTCCTAATCGGACCATGTGAATGGCAGAAAAAGATGCCGACATTGGCCCAGTTTCGCACATGTTCAACCTACATTGAAGCCGTTCGACTTCCGTTTCCTCCATTTTGTTGTCTACCAAATTTGTAGCAAGCACAATGACCACTCGGGGCCTTATTGACGCTGGAAGTAATGAAGCCGAACGTGCGCGGTGAATGGAAATCAGGAAGTCAGCCACGTCAGAATAGCTTGCAAAATCAGCTGCAAATATGCAAACTACATCCGTAAAGAGAAATAGTAAGCGAGCATATATGATTTGTAGTACTGTTTCAAAAGAGTGAGCTTGCCAGGTGATGGGCTGCTCCGGTCTGGCAGTCTGTTTCCCTAAAGAAGAAAAAGAAGGCTTGTATGTCAGGTCACCATCTGCGAAAAATGCAGGACGCGGCATTCTTTGTGTAGCCACATCACAGCGTAACCTGACACTAGTGTTCGAAGCGCGACGGTTTATGTTATTGTGCGGATACAGTTGCCGAAGACAGGCTTCTTTAGATTTGGTTCCAAGAAAGACGCATAGAGATGGGCACTGGTCACCACTATTGACTAGCTCAGCCACCAGGCCTTCAAGACGGCCGTGATCTAGAATTGTAAGCTGTCCGCTTTCACCGGACTTGATCTCAAGCCAGTTGTTGCTGTTCGTTTGTTGCATGATGACTTATATTGATAGATGAATTTACTACATGGCCAACAGCGTGTCCCAATCGGCTTTTATAGAGAAGATTCCTCACCCTCTCATCACCCAGAAAGAAAGCAAAGGCCCGGATTGAGACATGCTACCTCTCGAAGGTGCAGACTAATGCCTCTCGCGCTTTTTCGGACGCGTCTGATCATTCACAAGGTGAGCAACTTTCAAAGTAAGCTTTTGATTGGATATATTTATTTCTAACATATTATTCAATGCTGCCAGTAAGTTTGAAGCAAAACTTTCTAAGTCCTGGTGAGAGGATTGTGGCTGCGAGCCTTTTGCGGCGCCTTGTGTTCGTTTGACATCGCCCGCCCCACTTCGAGGCGCATGACTCATGCGGTTTGTACTCTAATCAGTCGAACCGTGGTTAAGCATCAACTAATCGATCATCGCGCCACGCCAAGTGGGGATCTTCTGGCGACCAGCTTCCGGGGAAATGCCGGATAATCAGTTCATCGACTTCTCCCTAAATCAATTTCCCGCGAATCAAGAAATTGCTTCATTTGTGTATGAACCATCAATATACCTTACTCGATTAATTGCGCTCGGTTCCAAGGACTCACTTTACTACAGAAGTCGAGTGGGCGTATCAGAATTGAAACATGAGCTTGCTTGAGGTGCGAGGCTAGGTATCTTACTTCAACTAACACCTATCACGGGAGTGATAGTTATCTCAAGGAGACCTGCCT